TAAGAGTTGAGCCTGCTCGACTTTAGCATTCCTTTCTTGTTTTTATAGCCTGTACCCAAAGGGTGAAAGGCTATACTAGCTTTGTGCGCACGTATGTAACACACAGAAGGAGGCGTGGCAGACCCCACAAAGTATATATATTCTTGATCAGGATGATTAGCCGAGTCGATATAGCCTTGTCCGACTGTCTGTCCGTATGAACGCAAGGATCTCAGAAAGTATAAGAGCTAGGATAACCAAACTTGGTTTCCATATTCTCCTAAGACCGAGAAAGTACGAGTTTGAGTTTTTTTTCGATGCACTCCGCAATTCGTGTTTTTTCTTATAACTTCCGTAATTCTCGGAATTTTGAAATCAATTTTGGTAGGTACACCCAGTTAGTACTTTCATCATGATAGGTAAATTCTGAAGAAAGTTATAGCCACAAGTAAAATCGCTGCTCATGCGCTGCCTGCAGCTCTGTCGGCAGCGATGCCCGCAGCTGTTGTTGTTGTTGCTACTTTGGTTCAACTTTGTGCTGCATACATACACGCATATAAACACGCATAAGTACGTGATGTAAATCTATGCTGTTAAAACTGAACATAATAACATAATTTTTTTTAAATTTTTCTTTTTTTGTGGAGAGTACAGGCTATATTACTGTCGGGCTTGCTCGACTGTAGCGTTCTATCTTGTTTTATTATACTCTGTACATGAAATGTACAAGAGTATATTAGGTTTGCGGGAAGTGGAAAATGTAACAGGCAGAAGGAGGCGTGACAGACCCCACAAAGTGTATATATTCTTGATCAGCATGACGAGACGAGTCGATCTAGCCCTGTCTGTCTGTCTGTCCGTCCGTATGAACACCTGGATCTCAGAGACTATAAGAGATAGAGACACCAAATTTTGCACAAAGATGCCTTATGTATGTATTCTATACGAGTTTGTTTTATTTTTTTGATTTTCCCCCCCACTTCCCCCCTATGAGGGTTTTCCCGATTTTCCATTCGTATAATCGCCTATATCTCGGAGACTATAAGACCTAGGGACACAAAATTTTAGTCCCAGATGCCTTGTGTGAATACGCAGAAAATGTATATTTTGGAATTTCCCTCCCTCCCCCCTCTACCATGCAAATACGATTTTCTCTAACTCCCGTAATTCTTGGAATTTCGAACTAAAATTTTGCAAACACCTCCAGTTAGTTATTATGTGTCCGTATGCCACGTTTCACTATGATAGACCGATTTAACAAGAAGTTATAGCCATAAATATATTTGCTGCTGTAGCGGTGCTCAAGCGCTGCCCAAGCGCTGCCCGCGGCTGTTGTTGATGTTGCTGTTTGGTTTGGCGAAAATGCTTACACAGACACGAATAGATGCGCATAGGCATACATACACTCACACAGATGCAATTGCTATGTAAATGTGCAATTATACACCCTTTACGTGAGTTCGAATACCGAGAGAGGTAAAATCGATCAATTTTTATACTCTGTACATGAAATGTACAAGAGTATATTAGGTTTGCGGGAGCTGAAAAATGTAACAGGCAGAAGGAGGCGTGGCAGACCCCACAAAGTATATATATTATTGATCAGCATGACGAGACGAGACGAGTCGATCTAGCCCTGTCTGTCTGTCTGTCCGTCTGTCCGTCCGTATGAACACCTGGATCTCAGAGACTATAAGAGATAGAGACACCAAATTTTGCACGAAGATGCGTTATGTGTGTATTCTATACGAGTTTGTTTTATTACTTCACCCTATGGGGGTTTTCCCGATTTTCCATTCGTATAATCGCCTATATCTCGGAGACTATAAGACCTAGAAACACCAAATTTTAGTCCCAGATGCCTTATGTGAATACGCAAAAAATTTATATTTTGGAATTTCCCTCCCTCCCCCCTCTCCCCCGCAAATGCGATTTTCTTTAACTCCCGTAATTCTTGGAATTTCTAAACTAAAATTTTGCAAATACCCCCAGTTAGTTATTATGTGTCCGTATGCCGAGTTTTACTATGATAGACCGATTTAACAAGAAGTTATATCCATAAATATATTTGCTGCTGCAGCGCTGCCCGCGACTGTTGTTGATGCTGGTGCTTTGGTTGACTGCACACATTTTTACACAGACACGAATAGATGCGCATAGACATACATACACTCACACAGACGCAATTGCTATGTAAATGTGCAACTATACACCCCTTACGTGAGTTCGAATACCGAGAGAGGTAAAATCGATCAAATTTTTTTTTTATTTTCTTAATTTTTTTTATTTTCTATAATTATTGTAAACATATGTACAGAGTATTTCAAAGTCGGGACACCCGACTTTAGCTTTTTTACTTGTTTTTTTTTTATTTTCTTAATTTTTTTTATTTTCTATAATTATTGTAAACATATGTACAGAGTATTTCAAAGTCGGGACACCCGACTTTAGCTTTTTTACTTGTTTTTGAATATGAATGTTGTGAGTGCAAAATGCGTGTCTCTGCTATTGTAAATCGGAAGGATGCATTCACGGAATAAGCTTAACGCTTAATGTGTCCCAGGATTCTTCAGAATACATTTGTACGGAATAAGCTTAACGCTTAATGTGTCCCAGGATTCTTCAGAATACATTTGTAGCGTTGTAAGCTGACGCACGCTTTTAATATGTACAAACGGTAAATCGCTTGTAAATATGCGATCAGCTGAGATGCTAGAGATGGCCATGTGTCAGCCTTTTTCTGCCCGTCGCAGCGCGAATACGAATTTGGCTGTAAAAAAAAAAATCACGAATCCGTATGCACGGTTTATGAATACATACATTTTTTTTTTGTAAATCGAAAAATTTGGAGAATTAAATTTATGCTTGTATACATGTGTATAAGGTAGTCCAATTTAAAGGACCGATATATGCACATAATATTACTTTTTCGTAAACTATTAATTTATTTTATGTACCCAAAGGGTGAAATGCTATACTACTGTAAAAGGGTACAAGTATATTAGTTTTGTGCGGGTGTACATGGAACACACTGAAGGAGGCGTGGCAGACCCAACAAAGTATATATTCTTCATCAGGATGACAAGCCGGGTTGATATAGCCATGTCCGTCTGTCGGTATGAACGCAAGGATCTCAGAATGTTATGAGCTAGAATAACCAAACTTGGTATCCAGATTCTCCTGTGCCCGAGAAAGGACGAGTTTGTTCATATTTTCTGATACACCCCCCCACTCATCCCCTATTCAAGATTTTCTATAACTCCCGTAATTCTTAGAATTTTGAACTAAAATTTGGTAGTCACAGCCAGTTAGTGATTATATATCTGTATACCATTACATTTCATTAGGTTGATTAGAATGAAAGGTTTAGCCATATAACCAGTACCCATGCTATATTTGTTGCTGCTTTGCCATAAATATGCAATGCACACATACATATGTACAACTACACAAACACGCATAGACACGATTCTAATGTAAATGTACGGAATATTTTATATTTAATTTAATTAAATAATTAAATTAAAAAAGAAAATTTTTTTTGTGCGGTAGTACAGTGTATTTAAGAGTTGAGCCTGCTCGCCAGCATTCCTTTCTTGTTTTGTTCCTATCGCATTTTCACGTTTGTGTCTTTTCGGCTTTATTGTGAGGATGAAGAAGAGCGAACTTGTTGCTGCAGTTTATATATTAATTATATGTGCAAAGTTTGGTTTAGGTAGCATTTGAAATATGGTCGGTATTGACGAAATTCTGGGGAGAATTCCAAAAAATAAAATAAAGATGCGCCACAAATAGAGAGAGCGACAAGAAGTGGCCGACGCTACTAAATGTCGCTCTCATTTGTAGCTTTGCTCTCTTGCTATTGCATTTCACCATACTACTCGACAGTTGCCAACAGAATCTCGTTTCGATCGCATCGTTGAACCATCGTCGTTTCTAAATTAAGTGAAGCCAATAAATCCATTACCCACAACATTAACTATCGTCATTAAACGATATAAAATAACCATAATATCATAAGCATATTGTCACCAAACAAACTATAATTATTAAATAATACAATAATAATTAAAGTGTCAAAGTGAGTAACTTTCGATTACTACTTGTACATATATACTTTATGGGGTCGGAGGTGGTTCTTTCTGCTACTCTGCTACTTCTGCTACTTTGCACAAACCTAATATACCCTTTTTACCCTACGGGTACAGCGTATAAAGAGAAGTAGAAGAGCGAATTTGATGCTGAAGTACAGGCGTTCATCCAGATTGACTGACGGACATGTCTATTTCGATTCGTCCCGTACACAATTTTGTGTCTCTAGGTCTTATATTCTCTGAGATCCAGGACGGGCAGACGGACTAGATCGACTCGTATAGGTAACGAGAGTAGACATTTTCACCCGATTTCTTATAAACTTTTTTAGGGACTTGAATTGTTTTCGTGTGGAAAAAATCGAACACAAGAGCTGCATATACTTTTATGCAATCAACGCACAGCCCAAGAGCTAGGAAGCTGAAATTTGAATACAAGGGAGGAAAGCGATAGTTAATATTTGTACGAACAAGAATGGAATGCCAGAGTCGAGAGAGAACACCTTCTACATGGTCTGAACCCACATAAGCATTACATTATAAATATAATTACTATGTATTTTTTTAAATTATTGAAATTAATTAAATGCAAATAATTCATTCAATTATATGCAACACCAACGTAAAGATATTTATTGGCAGAGCATTTCATTTCGATGCATCAATTTGCATCAGGCCTGCGCCTGTGCTCTTGTGTGCAAAACCAAGCTGAAACCTGCGAATGGCATTTATTGCCCTTGATCTAAGTAATATTAATATTACTTGAAATAAGCCTTTGGATAGACTGTTAGATAAGATCACATAGAGTGCGAGCTTCCAACAAATCCTCTTCATCATCTTCTAACATTAAACAATAAAAACCTAAGCTGTCAATAACTGATGTTCGTTTTTGTAACTGAGGAAGTATTGAAACTGCTTTCCCCTGAAATTGGACGAAATTCAGTGACAATTTAGCTCTTCGGCACGTAGCAGTAAGCAAAATTTACAAATCACACAACTAATATCGAGTTAGTCCATCTCTTTGTTACCAGGCAACAACGCGCCTTCTGGATTGTCCGGAAGGAGACAGAACCCACTGAACCTTTGGAAGCTGCAAATTGTATTAAAAGGTGAGTCAGCGAAGGTGCATTTTTTAGTCTTAAGTGGAGCTGCTGTCACTTTAAAAATGAATTTTTTTACCAAAACGTCCCCAGACTTTCTTCTTTGGTCTCTCCGGCTTTTTTCTCCTATGTTGTTCAGATAATAATCTTCGACATAGTCAGCCATCAAAATCAACTCAAACACATATAATACATATAATAGTAGATATATTATATATGTGTGTTTACACGAAAAAAAATATAAAAAAATTACCCCAACATATTCAGGTGAGTATAATCGAAAAGTTACCATTACACATAATTTGCCAACAATAAGAATCAATCCATAAGTTGCCAGCAATATAAATCAATGCTTAAATTGAAAGCTATGTATGTATTGACACTAAAACCTCCATGGACTCGTAGATTTTCGATCTTCAAAACAAGTAAAAAAGCTAAAGTCAGGTGTCCCGACTTTGAAATACTCTGTACATATGTTTACAATAATTATAGAAAATAAAAAAAATTAAGAAAATTAAAAAAAAAATTTTGATCGATTTTACCTTTCTCGGTATTCGAACTCACGTAAAGGGTGTATAATTGCACATTTACATAGCAATTGCGTCTGTGTGAGTGTATGTATGTCTATGCGCATCTATTCGTGTCTGTGTAAAAATGTGTGCAGTCAACCAAAGCACCAGCATCAACAACAGTCGCGGGCAGCGCTGCAGCAGCAAATATATTTATGGATATAACTTCTTGTTAAATCGGTCTATCATAGTGAAACTCGGCATACGGACACATAATAACTAACTGGGGGTATTTGCAAAATTTTAGTTCGAAATTCCAAGAATTACGGGAGTTAAAGAAAATCGCATTTGCGGGGGAGAGGGGGGAGGGAGGGAAATTCCAAAATATAAATTTTTTGCGTATTCACATAAGGCATCTGGGTGTTTCTAGGTCTTATAGTCTCCGAGATATAGGCGATTATACGAATGGAAAATCGGGAAAACCCCCATAGGGTGAAGTAATAAAACAAACTCGTATAGAATACACACATAAGGCATCTTTTTGCAAAATTTGGTGTCTCTATCTCTTATAGTCTCTGAGATCCAGGTGTTCATACGGACGGACAGACAGACAGACAGACAGGGCTAAATCGACTCGTCTTGTCACGATGATCACGCTGGGGTCTGCCACACCTCCTTCTGCCTGTTACATTTTTCAGGTCCCGCAACCCTAATATACTTCTGTACATTTCATGTACAGAGTATAAACATGAAACCGACAATTTCAAAAAGTTAAAACAGCCTGGCTCCTGTGTTGAATTCTCCCTAAACTAAATAATACGAATTATTTATATCGTTGCAAGCTCCAACTCGAACAGAAGAAGAACCCTAAGAAGTTCTTAAACTTTGTAAATTCCACTGCTTTCAATGACTCTGCAATTCATACGCCTTTGCGTGTTGCCTTCAAATTTGATATTTGTACCAATTCTTACAGATTCTTGTACTCTATCTAATATATGTACAGGGTGCGCCATCTTTTATGTCGGTATGCAAACATTGAATATCCTTGAAAATAAGCAACCAATTTTCAAGTATGAGATATTTTTATTTAATTTGGTTCTGTACAATTTCTTGAACGGAGGTTTTCAACACTGATCTACTCAATCGGTTCACTAATGTCAAAGTTATTCAATATCTACATACCGACATAAAAAATGGCGTACCCTGTACAATCTGTTAAATACTCAATCTGTCCTGGGACTGACAATGCTATATTCCTAGTTGTGTGCTCGAAGAAACAAGTACCTCAGTAAAATAATTATATGTGACAAACTATTTCTGCTCTATTCTGCGTATAAGGTGATGAGACTTTATTTTTGAAAATGCAGTCCGTTTTGAATATCTCTTCTTATATATATACACCTATCACCTTAATTATTCTCTTAATATTGGGTTAACCGTTACCTCAAAATTAACGCGCGCCTTTGGATTATAATTTACAATTCGCTCGCTGCACCGCTTTTAAAAAATTTAATTGCAAGAATTTTGTTCCACATTAAAACGTGGATATACATCTATATATATAAAACAGTTTGTCCTGACTGACTGACTGATTGGTGATCAACGCACAGCCCAAACGGTAAAAGATGAAATTTGGACTCAAGTATCCTTTCATAGTATCCATCATAGTGTAGGAGCACACTAAGAAAGGCTTTTGGAAAATTCTAGGTCAAAAGGGGGGAAAACGAGCTTTAAAAAATATTAGTTATAGTGGTCATGTTCGTTTAACGAAATAGTTTGGCAAGAACAAAAATGTAACGGACTACTGAACCATTTTTTGTCAAGAACAGAAAATGTTCATTTAAATACCTTAAATGCCTTCCTACTGGTAACTTATAAGGTGAAAACATATGGGTAGGTTATGCACACACAAAATAAATACAATTGGAAACATTATATTGAGCCGGGCTAAGACGGGCAATACCTGCTAGTACTTGTACTATATATGTTATAAATCACATTTGGTTCAATATTGGTTTATTAGACTGAGCAAAATGCCTTTCGGAGTATGAGCAACGATTAATCATTGGAATGCATGAAAGCGGTTCCAAAAATGTCGTAATTGTTAAAATACTCTATTAGACTATTAGTAATTTCCAAAAATCCAAGTGAGTATAAAACAACACCACGCAGCGGACAGAAAACTGGTATTGACACCCGATGCAAACGTCAAATCCAGCGACTTGCGGCCGTGGATTTAATGAGCAGTGGACAGATAAAGGCTCAATTGGGACTCCATATAACAAGGAGTAGAGTTATTCAAATAATCCATGAAAATCCGAGTCTTAAGCTTACTGCCATGGGTACCATGGTACCCATTTGAAGGCACGTATTGAGTTCGTATACAGATACCAATTCTGGGAGGAGGAATGCCGTGATGTTATTTTCAGTGATGAAAAAAGTTTAAACAGGAAGGTCCTGATAGCTGCAAAAAATATTGACACAATTTGCGAAAGGATCGACACACCTGTTATAAGCGTGATCATGGTGTTGGGACAGTAATGGTATGGGTTGCGTTTTGCTACAAAAGCAAGAGTACAATGTGTTTCATATCGACAAGAATAAATGACAAAATGTATGTAGAGCTATTGGATGACAAGTTGGTGTAGTTTGGCGGCCAATTATACGGGGAAAACACGACCTTTCCACATGATAATGCGCCAATACATAGTCAAAGCTGACCACCAAATATTATAATGAGAAAAATATTCCAATTGAAGATATCTGGGGTATTCTATCTGCACATCAGAATACCTTAGTTCAACAATTCACGGCTGCTTGAGACAGCAAAAGAGACAAAATTGGCAACAATTGACCTATCCCATTTAAAATCATTGGTGAACTCCATGCCATTTCGCTTAAATTTGGTAATAATCCAATAAGCATGTCATGAAAAGCCACATATACTAATTTTTCATAATAAAGTAAAAGTTCACATTAACTTTTGTCAGTCTGTCCGTCCGTCCGGCCGTTTGTATGAGCGCAAGGATCTGAGAAGGTACAAGAGCTAGAATAACCAAACTCGGTATCCAGATTTCCCTAAGCCCTAGGCAGTTTATTTTTATACCCTGTACCCAAAGGGTGAAAGGGTATACTCGTTTTGTGCGAATGTATGTAACAGGCAGAAGGTGGCGTGGCAGACCCCACAAAGTATATATATTCTTGATCAGGATGAGAAGACGAGTCGATATAGCCATGTCCGTCCGTCCGTCCGTATGAACACCTGGATCTCAGAGACTAGAAGAGCTAGAGAGACCACACTTTGCACAAAGATGCGTTAAGTATGTATTTTATACGAGTTCGTTTTATTTTTTTGATTTTTTCCCCCACTTCCCCCCTATGGGGGTTTCTCTGTAACGCCGTTCGTATAATCGCCTATATCTCAGAGACTATAAGACCTAGGGATATCAAATTTAAAGTCCAAGATTCCTTATGTAAATACGCAGAAAATGTGTATTTTGGAATTTCCCTCCCTCCCCTCTTCCCCGCAATCAATAACTCCCGTATTTCTTGCCAAGTTTCATAATGATAAGCCGATTTAACAGGAAGTTATAGCTATATAGCTATACACCAAGCAGTGCGCGTAGCTGTTGTTTTTGTTACCGCTTTGCTCAGGCACACGAGACATACACAGACTCACACATACACGCATAATTATTCTACACATATGTACACAGTATTTCAAAGTCGGGATACCCGACTTTAGCTTCTCTACTTGTTAATATTTGTGGGACGTACAAGGTATTTAAGAGTTGAGCTCGCTTGACTTTAGCATTCCTTTCTTGTTTTATTTCTTTTCTCGTTAGGTCTAATGACGTCTCAGATTATTCTGTGCTGTGAATCGGGGCATCGCTGGCCGTTGGGCAAATAAAGCTCTGCCATCGAGTCGGTTTCGTTAGTATAGTAGATACTATTGGTGTTTTATAAGCCTTTTTAAATTTTTTAAGTTCACTTTTTTATTGTTCTTTTAAATCGACAGCTTGAATAAAGATGAATAAATGAATAAAGACATGGGTTTCAACAGCTCCAGTCTGCGATTTCTGTTAGGAATCCTTATGTCTACAATCTAGTAAGCATTGCTTGGGCGACATACACGACACTCAGACTTATTTATTAGGCATTCTAGAACAGATATACATATGTATTAAAAAAAACATAAATTTATTTCGAAAATCATTTTTCTATCCACATATTCACCAGTGCAATTAGTTAATTCAATACGAACACCTAAAATAACCCGAGCTACCTCATCTAACTGCGGCACCTGTCACCACCTCGCAGCAAGACGAACCCGAAGCGGGAGTTGAGGAAACACGGAACAGAAGTAAGTAATTGGCGCCCTTTTTGTGCGGCATTTTTTTTGCCGAGGACGTCCAACTCGGAAAGCGACTTAGCGGTTAAGAAAGTGCTGGAAATATTGTAATCTATCTAACTACGATCGATCGCCTAACCGGTTCAACTTTTCGTTCGTTTTTTTATCCAATTACAAAGAGATTTTGAATTCCGGTGAGTTAACTGCTGTTATCAATACAACTAATAGAAGCTAAAGCTTACTGAGCAATGTTCCCACAGATTTGCAAAAATGGTTATTAATCTTAACCCGTCAACCTCGACCAATGCCAATGGCTCCCCCCACAGCAACTTGATGGGTATCATTTCCCACACCGTCCTGGATGGCGTTGTGTATTTACACGTGGTGTGCGCCGGCGATTCGTCTGCCAAATGGGTAACTATGGCCGAAGCCATGGCCTACTGTCCGACCGGCGTTATTGCCTACACCAAGCTGCAGCTGTCCCAAATCTATGGCATACCCATGGACGTTCTTTTCGAGTCCAACTAATGGCAGCCAACATCAACCGGTCAGCTGCGAGGCGGTTGGACGAGTAGCCAAGAGGGAGCACTGCAAGCCGTAATCACTTTTTGAAATTTTCCAAATTTCAAGTTCTTGAAGTTGGAATAGCATTTCGTATAAACAACCATCGATCAAATAACCACCTGAAAAAAATACCCGAGAGCTATTCAAATATATGTATTTACAGTTAGTACGTTTTGAGCCACTTTTCTTACAGCTGCCCCTAAAACTTGCATCTATTTCTCAACGCACGCATTTATTATATGCACCATTCTAAATCTGAATAAAGTCAGACAAATGCTTTGAGTTAGTTTCAGCGCCATTCGAAGAATATCTTACGCCAGACCCTCGAATAGGCACCCAGAAGTTCGAAGGCAGTCTGCTCATCCTCATACAAGAAAACACGTTCTTCCACCCAATGGTGGTTGGCAGCACTTTCAAGTACATCTTGATATATATGAAACAGTTTACCCTGACTGACTGACTGATTCAAATTTGGACACAAGTATCATTTCATAGTGCAAGAAGCGGTTTTCGATAAATCGAACTCCAATCAGGGGAGACAGGCTCCTAAGACTTTAGACAAATCTGTAAATTTCAACCGGTTAGCTACAACCTTGGTTTTCAAAGAATAAAAATAAACTGCATACTGGGTTTGAATACCCTGTACCTGAGAGGTAACAAGAAAGGAATGGTAAAAACGAGTGGGCTCAACTCTTAAATACCTTATACCCTCGCCTTCTTCTTAGTGTTAGATACATTTGCACAAAACTAGAATACTGTTTTACCCTTTGGGTTTTAAAATTGGTATATTAGGCTTGTGCAAAATATGTTACATATATATTCTTAATCAGCATAACGAGAAGAATCGATAGAGCCATGTCCGTCGGTCAAGATGAACGCTTGGATTTCGGAGACGGCTGAGCCCACATTCACCAAACCAAATACGAAAATTCTTCTAATATGCAGGCAACACGGGTTTTTGTATTTTTAAGATTTCGGTCGCTTCTAAGTTATTGGAATTCAACGACTATTTAAATATAGACAAATTTTTATTTGTTTATTTTTATACCCTGTACCCGTAGGGTAAAAAGGGTATATTAGGTTTGTGCAAAGTATGTAACATACAGAAGGAAGCATCTCCGACCCCATAAAGTATATATATTCTTGATCAGCATGACGAGAGAAATCGATCTAGACATGTCCGTCCGTCTGTCCGTCTGTCCGTCTGTCCGTCCGTCTGGATGAACGCAAGGATCTCGGAAACTATTAAAGCTAGAATAACCAAAGTTGGCATCCAGATTCTCCTAGGTCCGAGTAAGGACGAGTTTATTTTTTTTTTTTTAATTTCCCCCCCCTTCCCCCGCTACAGAATTTCGTCAATAGCGTCCACATTTCAAATGCTACCTAAACCAAACTTTGCACACATAATTTCTATACAATTATCTACTGTTGTTTAAAATTTTATCAAATTCGGTCAATTCTAAGAAAAGTTATTAGCAAAACAAATTCTCACCAGTACAACCCCCCCAAACTGCAGCAACAAGTTCGCTCTTCTTCTTCCTCTTTATGCTGCTGCTATGGGCGCATATAACTCAGTGACGGAAGTTTACCTGGGTACAGGGTATTACACTGTCGGGCTTGCTCGACTGTAGCGTTCTCTCTTGTTATTTATTTTTTTGTATTTTATTTTATAAAAACAAGTAAAAAAGCTAAAGTCGGGTGTCTCGACTTTGAAATGCTCTGTACATATGTTTACAATAATTATAGAAAATACAAAAAATTAAGAAAATAAAAAAAAAAATTGGATCGATTTTACCTCTCTCGGTATTCGAACTCACGTAAAGGGTTTATAATTGCACATTTACATAGCAACGGACAGGGCTATATCGACTTGTCTCGTCATGCTGATCAAGAATATATATACTTTGTGGGGTCTGCCACGCCTGCTTCTGCCTGTTACATTTTTCAGCTCCCGCAAACCTAATATACTTCTGTACATTTCATGTACAGAGTATAAAAATCCCTTAATGGTTCGCACTGGTCAAATATATTTTTACATTTTTAATTGATTTTGAAGAAGGTAGGATTTAGAATTCGAACGAATGATTAACACACAGACTTATATCAAAGGTTTAAAATTAGTAAAGGCTCTTACATGAAAGAAATGGTACATACAAGAGGTAAAATAAGAGAGCATGTTAGTGTGTTGCTACTCTTAAATTGACCTTTTTTTTCGGCTACGTAAACGGCCCATTATAATTAATGAAATAAATTAATAAAACTTGTGAGCAGGGTTGTGCTGAGTGAGGTAAAATTCTTGCCTTTAAGTAAATAAAAAACAAGTAAAAAAGCTAAAGTCGGGCGTCCCGACCTTGAAATACTCTGTAAATATATTTACAATAATTATAGAAAATAACAAGATAGAACGCTACAGTCGAGCAAGCCCGACAGTAAAATAGCCTGTACTCTCCACAAAAAAGAAAAATTAAAAAATAAAAATAAAAAAAAAATTAAATTATTAAAAAAATGAACGAATTAATTAATTAAATTAAATTAGAATACATGTTTATGTTCAGTTTTACCAGCATAGATTTACATCACACATTAGTACCAGCTGGATGTACCTACCAAAATTCCGAGAATTACGGAAGTTATAAGAAAAAATACGAATTGCGGGGGAGTGGGGGGGTGTATCAGAAAAAATAAACAAACTCGTTCTGCCTAGGGCTTATAGGAACCTCGATACCAATTTTGGTTATCCTAGCTCTTATACTTTCTGAGATCCTTGCGTTCATACGGACAGACAGACGGACGGACAAGGCTATATCGACTCGGCTTCTCATCCTGATCAAGAATATATATACTTTGTGGGGTCTGCCACGCCTCCTTCTGTGTGTTACATACATGCGCACAAAACTAGTATAGCCTTTCACCCTTTGGGTACAGGCTATAATAAAACAAACTCGTATAGAATACACACATAAGGCATCTTTGTGCAAAATTTGGTGCCTCTATCTCTTATAGTCTCTGAGATCCAGGTGTTCATACGGACGGACAGACAGACAGACAGACAGACAGGGCTAAATCGACTCGTCTTGTCACGCTGATCAAGAATATATATACTTTGTGGGGTCTGCCACGCCTGCTTCTGCCTGTTACATTTTTCAGCTCCCGCAAACCTAATATACTTCTGTACATTTCATGTACAGAGTATAAAAAGAGATAATAAAAACTCCGAAAGTAACGGAGTTAAACTTTAAACGCAAAATGTTTCTTATTGAATGGTCCCCGTTTGATACAATTCTTGCCTTATTATATAAAATAATTATATTTTCTTGCCAGAAGGGGCTGCTGGTTGTTGATGAGTGGCGATAGCTCAGACGAGTTTAGTAACGTGTCCGTGCGGTCAGCGACGATAGTGTACGATAGTGTACTGCAGGGGTTGATCGAGGGCGTAAGTAATTGCCAAATCGACCGAGCAGAAAGGAAAATGAACGCTGAGGAATTAAGGGTCATTATCGATGCGGTGGTAACCTCCGCTTTGGCAGCACAGGCAGCTCTGTATGATCAGAGAACAGAAACCCTTAAGGGGACTTCAACCGCAAAATTAACGAACTCACACAGCGCATACAAAGTGTACAAATAGCGCCTCCGGAGGTGGAAGTTTATAAAGATGTAGAAATCGTGGAGGGCGCCCGCTGTGATGAGCCCTTAGACGATGTAAAGTGCTTAGCCGAGCTCTTCGGCACACAGGAGACATACGTGTCTTGGCGTCAGGCGGCACTCGCCGCCTACAAAATTTTTAAGCCTTACAATGACAGCTCCCGGCGGTTATCATAATAAGGAGTAAGGTAAGGGGTCCAGCAGATGCTGTGCTCGCCTCTTTCAACACTCCAATGAATTTCGAGGCCATCATAGGTAGACCCGATTTTACGTACAGTGACAAGAGACAGATACACGTCATCCCACAGGAGCTAGGTACGCTCAGACAGGGAAATCTTTCGCTGTCAGGATACTATGACGAGGTGGAGAAGAAGTTGACCTTACTAATAAACAAGATCAACATGTCCTACGATACAGACCTAGCAAGGGGCATGTGCGAAAAGTTTAGCGGGTCTCAGACAGGCCAAGGAAAGAGTCCATTCTTTAGCCGACAGCAGGGCGGCCAGCAGCAGCCGGATCAAACACAAAATGAACAGACCCAGGGGGATTTTGGCGAATCCATGTACGTAGACCCCTCTTCGTCGAAATTTCGACATTTTACTGCTTCACGGCAGAACCAGAACTCAGGGAGGCACTACGGGGGTTTCCAGCAAGGCAAAAAACCTAACCAATCTGAGCGCATGACCGGCCAAAGAAGGCAAAGGGTCAATCACATTGCGCACTCGACGCGGTATCCCAAATTGCCGATGAAATCGGGGCCGATTGCGAGAGTGACTTCGCGAATTTTTTAGAGGAAGCTCCCTGCTGACCTTCATCAGACGAAGAGTAGCGGGGGTAGTCATGAAGTTTTTAATTGACACGGGCGCCTCCAAAAACTACATAAAACCCTACACGGGTATGAGGAATGTCATCCCGGTCGATTCACTCACTTCACGGTTCAAGCAGTATTGAGAAAAGCTGTTTTTTGAGAATGTTTGGTGTTAAAGCACCATTTTTTTTTTTTTTGCTCAACAGCCTCTCAACGTTTGATGGGATCATTGGCCTTGACTTGCTAACGCAAGTGGGCGTGGTCCTAAATTTACAGACGGGTGAATTGGAATGTTTTGCCAAATCGGAAAAGATTGAGTACCACAGGTGATCTAATGTCAACTTTACTAACGTTGACGACATTGCAGCACCAGAAGGGGTAAAAAAATAACTTTATTAAAATGCTGAAAAATAGAATAAAGACTTTCGCAGACCCAAACGAGGCTCTGCCATATAATACTTCAGTCGTCGCAACCATAAGGACGACGAACACTCAGCCAATATATTCTAAGTTGTACCCCCATCCCATGGGTGTGGCTGATTTTGTGACCATGGAAATACGGAACCTTCTAGCGAACGGTATAATGCGAAAATCCAAGTCACCGTACAATAACCCAATCTGGGTTGTTGACAAAAAAGGAACCAATGAGTTGGGCAACAAAAAGATACGTCTGGTAATAGACTCTTGGAAGCTAATTTGGGTAAAGCCAAATATTTTAC